CATTTAATATCATTTCAAGCACAAAAATTAATTGTGTAAGACATTCATCTTTTAGACTAGAACAGCAGAGACCTAAATTAAAAATCATCAGTAAACTAGTAGAACAAAAAAAATACTAATATACCAACAAAAGCTAGAAATAGTGTATCAAAAATGTTTTCAATATAAAAAAAGCAATCTGATATCGAAATAATATTAGATATAAAAAATTTCATCATTAATCATCATCGCTATCATGTAAATAAAGCATACGACTTAATATTATTTAAAGATACCGTGTGATGGCTAGACCACGGCGTGACCAACTTTTTTGGTCACGGCTCTTCTTTCTGGTTCCTCAATATTAAAAAAACTTTCGAAAAAGAGCTATTGCAAAGTTTTCGTTTACTATTAAAAGTGATGGCCGTGGGGGCTTGAAGTAGCTTCGTGGAGGTGTCCGAACTTCCCCTCAGGGTTTCCAAAATCGCAAATACTAGAAATTTCCCAATTTTTCATAAAAAACGATGGTGCTTGTTCACTTTAAACATATTCCATACACTGATCCGCGTATTTAACGCTCACACATCAAAGAGTGCGGGTGAGAGCATATGTCGAAAGTGAACAAGTACCAAAACGATGACCAGAGGGAGTAGCTTCGCGAAGCTCACCTACGCCCCCTTAAGAGTTTCCAAAATTTCGAAGTTCGCGTGACTGACCATGACCAAGCTTCAGTCACGGTCACGGTCACGATCTTTGAAAAAAGTCACGCACAGTCACGACCGTGACTTTCGTGAGTCACGGCGGTCACGCCGGGCACTAGTGATGACATAGACAGGTCAAAATTTTCAAGACTAATTTTCCGTTGAAAACATACATAGTGTTTGTTATACCAATAATCGAGAAAATTTGAAGATGGCAGTACTATCGAAATTTAACTAGCTTCAAACAACTCTCTAGAAATTTTGCCCCGAACCAGAGTTACAGAATTGGAATCAGAAAAAATTTGTGAGTCGTTTGATATATTATCATCCCAAAATATTCATTGACCGATATGTTCAATCAAAGTGCATTAGTGACTTTTGAATCTGCTATAGAAAGCATTAGTCATCGGTCTTTGACATCTGACTACACATCATCTTACTACATATATATATATATATATATATATCATTCTTATTTCTTTTTGTATTAAAGATGGCCGAACATCATACACATCATCATGATTGTGCAAAAGCAAATGCAGATCATTTTTCAAAAGAAGCACATACTTATCGTAATGAACTATCAGTTGAAATAGCAAAACGATGTGCAGCAGTTATTCTTAAAAAATATTCATTCGATTCAAACAGTACTGAAGTACTTGATTTTGCTTGTGGACCTGGTCTTATTGCATTTGAACTTTTACCACATGTTAAACGTATCGTTGGTGCTGATTCAGCATCAGGAATGGTAGAAGTTTTTAATCGTAATGTAAGTACATAAATTATTTATTTTAGAATTTGACAAATTTTTGTTTTTCTATCATAGGTTGAAGAACAAGGAATATCACTAGAAAAATTACATTGTATTAAAATTGATTCTCTTAAAGATGATCAATCAGATTTTGATGGAACACTTTTTGATGTTATTATGTATGTTAATTGAAATGAAAAAAAAAAGAAATTATTTTATTTAATTTTATTATTATAGTTGTGTTCAATCATATCATCATTTTGAAGATCCAGTACATATGACTCGAGTATTTGCTAAACATCTTAAACCAAAAGGACGTTTGATGGTCATTGATTTTGCTAATGCTGGAAATATTGAAGCAGTTTTTGAAAAGATACATGGAGATACTCATGTAGTTGCTCATAAACATGGTAAGTTATTCTGTACATATATATTTTTTTTATTAAATGATGTATTTTTATAAGGTTTTACACATGAACAAATGATTGATATGTTGAAAACAGCAGATTTACAAAATCCTCAAGTAGAGGTATTTTGAAATTATTTTATTAATATTTGTATCAAAATATATTTTATTTTTATTCTCTTTAGGATATTTTTACAATGTCTAAATCTGAAATGAAGAACTATCAAGGTCATGAACATTTTGCAAAAGTTATGGATAGTGATATTGATTTTACATTCCATTATTTCATTGCTTATGGTGATAAAGCTTAATATTAGAAATATTGTAACGAATTAATTTCTTAAGAGATAAGGATTAAACAATTGTATCACCTATTCAGAATTAATAAAATATTCTTAAACATATTAGTTTTTGAAATTTTATATAATAAATAAAGATTGATGTTATTTGAAATTTTCATTATTTAATATGATCTGCTTCAGAGAATATGAATAAAATACTGTCATTTAAAGCGAAAAAAAAGAAGTATTAGCAAGATTTCTATTTGTTAACATAATATAAAACGATTCAGAGTCACGTCAAACCATCATATAAACTTATTTTCTTTTAGCAGTCAATATATGAAATGACATCGATTAAAGATATTTGAGTATCAATTGTAGGATATTCATTTATAAAAAAAAATGAAACTATAACACGTTATCAATCCATATGATCTCATTACTAGAAAGACAGATCAAGTGAAAAGAATATGATAAATAGTTTTGATTATAGGAGAAAAATTAAAAACTAATGGAATATATCGATCATAATCAATCATTGTCTATGTATGAGGTGAACAAAAAAAAATATTAAAAGATCTTTGTTGTATAAAATTTTTTTGCTTAAAATAAATTTTATCTAGGCTGCAATTGATGGTGATGAACAATATTTTGATAACTGGCTTTCAACAATGAAAAATAATGGTTTATCTATAACAAGTATCAAAAGTAAAATTGAAAAACTTGATCATGAACAATATTCAGTATTACATTATACTATTCGATATAATTATTTAAATTTATCTCGAAAACTTATTGAAGAATTTCATATTGGTATGCAATATATATAGATATAAATATCTAATTTATTTTTATTTTATATTTATAGATGTTAATCTTGTTGGTCGTGATGGTGAAACACCATTACATACAGCAGCTCGCTATGAAATATTGCATAATAATAACACTATGAATGTTTATAACAAATCAATTACAATGGTTTGTACCTTGTAGATATATTAAAAGTTTAGGAAATAATGAGTTCAAGATGAAATATAAAGTTTTTCGTTCGAATTTTTTTTTTATAGACTTCTTTTATTTATGATTCAATTTTATTTAGTTATGTTCTATTGAACAAAGTACTATTAGTTGTTTAGTTTCTCATCGAGCTGATTTATCAAGAAGAGACAATCATGGTAAATAATTTTGAATAATCTCTTTAGTTTTTTGTTTTTCTTTAGGTCGTACACCACTTCATCATGCTGCAATGAGAAATAATTATCATAATGCTAAACAATTGATTCAATTTGGTGCTCCGATTAATGTAAGAATTGTTGAAGCATAAACATAGAAATGTATTGCTTACGAATATGACCATAAGAAACACCCTAAAGTCTCTTCTGTTGATTTTCCGAACAAAAACAACAATATTTTGTCAAAGTCGTTTTTGAACTTCTCAAATTACTGATCATATTGAATTGTCTCTAGTACAATCACTTTTCTATGCTAGTATATGAAAACCTAGGGAGATTTTTTTCTTAGTTCATAATCTACAATCTACTAACTTACAATGAGAAATTGATTAATCAATTGAAAATGACTTCTCGTTAGTCACGAAAAAAAACTAAATTCTCATGTTGAAAGTTCTAAACTGAAGCCTATATTGTAGAATCTTTTGATTTATAATCTATATATACTCATCATGTTGCATATTTTAATCCAGTACAGATTATATTAAAAGCTTTTCTGATAGAAAATATTTTAAAAATTGATTTAACAATAGATTCTTGATGGAAACAATGCAACTCCACTTCATTTTGCATGTCGATATAATGCTATTGATTGTGTTCGTTTATTTATTGAATATCGAGCTATTATTGATCAACAAGATGATAATGGTAATACACCTTTACATTGTATTGCTCTATCTCAACAAGTTATATTAAATTATATTGAAGAAAATCACATATATCGAAATACAACTGCTCATTTTTTATTACATGCAGCTAAATATAATCTTAAATCTTATCTTGAAATTGAAAATAAAGATAAAAAAACTGCATTAAGTGTTGCTTGCGAATATGGTAATATTAATTTAGTTCAAATTCTACTTATCTATGGAGCTAGTATTGATAATTATATGCCTATTCATATGGCAGTTAAATCAGGTAATGTTGATATTATTCAATTATTATTTAAATATCATATTCAATTAACATTAACAAATTTATATGGTGAAACACCATTACATATTGCTTGTAAATATAATCGAATTGATATATTACAAGTTTTAATTAATTATCAAAATGAAAACTTAGATTTAGAAGTTAAAGATTATCAAGGATACACACCATTACTAACAGCTAGTTATTTTGATCATCAAGATTGTATGAGAATTCTTTTAATCAATAATGCAAATATTACAGCTATTGATAAATATGGTAAAACTATTTGTAAGTATAATTCAAATGATATTTTATATTAAACTTAAGATTTTTATTGAACAGTACATATTTGTATTGAACGTCATTGTCAAAATGCTTTAAAAAATTGTCTTCAATGGATTAAAGAAGATGTTCGTAATTATAAAATGTTTATTAAAAGTGATCGACATGGAAATACTATACTTCATGCAGGTATCTAATATTTTTATAAAAGAAAATATTAAAGGAGAAGTTCGTAAATTTGAATATACGAGGTAAATCGCCCAATTGATGAATCACTTTTTTAAGTCTGTACAATGAGCATCATGTAAATCCTAATGGATTATGAATAACTTGAAAAGAGAGATCTTAATGAGAATAGTTTATTGTGAAAAGTTCAGGTGTTTTTCATTTGCTTCTATCCTCAAATAAAAATATCAAATCTAACATTATCTATGAGTAATATAAAAGATATGCTTTTACCATCGTTGTATTTTAAGATAGAAACAATGACGCGGTGTAAGATATTCACAAGACACTATTCTCGTTAAGGATTGTCTGAGTGCAAAGTTTTATATCGAAATTCAAAAATTAGTTTCCCTAGTGCTTCGGGGGAGAATCACAACGTTCGGTTAAAAACTATTGTAAAAGGGTCAGTGTTCCAGCAGAAATAAGCTAAAGACTCTAACTCTTGTCATGATATTCATAACTCATTAGTATCGACATCATGTATGTAATCTCGATTGATAAGCTTATTAATTTTTTGAAAAACTTTCGTCATTAATTATTAATTTAAATATAATTATTAGCTGCTAAAAATGGTTCATTTAAAATATGTGAAATGTTAATGAATGCAATAAAATATATTTTATTACAAATACAACTATCATCTAATAACAAAAATTTATTTATTAAAGAATATTTATCATTAATTCTTAAAAAGAATATTAATAAACGTACACCAATTCATGAAGCAGCTAAAATAGGTAATTTTTCCATGTTGAATTTTTTCTTTCATATAATCAATAATGAAAATATAACAAATGAATATAAACAAAATAAAATTGTACTTTGTGAAGATTATGATGATGAACTTAAAACGAGTTTACATCTTGCTGCAGCTCAAGGTAAAATTGAATTAATAGCCCAAAAAAACAAAAACACTTTTACTTAGACAAATGTTATTTCATTTTTTCGAAAGGTCATTATGAAATAGTGCAATTACTTATTGATCAAGGTGCTAATATTTGGTCATGTGATATGAATGATTCAACACCATTACATGAAGCAGCTGAACATAATCGTTATCATTGTGTTGAAATACTTCTTCATCATCATGCACCAATTAATCAATTTGATGGAAAACATAATACACCACTTCATCGTGCTAGTCAATATGGTCATTGGAAAATTGTTCGTTTATTACTTAATTATAATGCTAATGTACGTCTTATTAATTGTGATGGTTATAATAGTTTAGAAATTGCTATTTTAAATAATCATCAAACAACTGTACATGAATTTCTTAATCATAAAACATGGACTAAATCATTACGTAATGCACAAGTACAAATAATGTTAAATAATAATAGTAGTATATATGAAAATTTATCAACACCATTAAGAAAACTTATTCGTTATATGCCATATGAAGCTAATGAAGTATTTACACGATCTATGATTGAAATAGGAAGTTCAGAAGATTATTCATATAAAATTATTTTTAATTATGAATTTCTTGAAGATCAATTTTCGATTTTTAAATGGAAACAAGGTAAATATCAATTTCAAAACAAAAGAAAACATATTAGTAAGCTTAATTCAAAGCTCGTTTATGAATTATTGATTAGTTTCAAAGAATGTATAAAAAATATTTATACGTTTAGTTTTTCGATAAACTTTTGCAACACTCTATGTATTACACATTCCAATTGTACAAAAAGAAAATAATAATTCATAAGAACTAATTTTCAGACTTTACGGTATATTTACCTACAACACTAAAGAAGAAAGCTAGAAAGCTACGACTTCTGTTGTACTGAAAATTATGTAAAAAAATCACTGATGACTGGATTCACATTCTGATCGAATAATAATTATCATATGATGTTTTCTGTATATCACATGATCAAATTGAAAATTCATTTGTAAGATGAGTTACTGCAGAGTTAGTTGGATTAAGTAACATAAATATTTAACGATTGCACTTTTGTCTTACATGAAGTTTCATTATATGAAAAATGTTTTGTTTCATGTTGTATCTAGATACTCATATTCAATCAAATGATTTACAGCCAATAAAAGCAAAAAAATGGACTTTATTATCATTTTTTAAATTTCGACAACAACAGAATGAAATGAATATAAATAATACATCTCAATTTAATGATCATGTACATATACTTCGACAAAATCATCCTCTTTATATGATTATTACCTATCATCAATATGATTTACTCAAACATCCACTTATTGATCGATTAGTTAAACGAAAATGGGTTCAATTTAGTCGAACTTTCTTCTGGATTTTATTTCTTTTCTATGGTATTTCTCGATTTTATTAAACCTTTAGAACGTAAATGGTGGAAAAGTACGGAACTTGGACAGGCGAATATCTTCCTTAGATTTGAGTATCTTAGGTTAGAATAGTCTCAAACACGTGTTTTCCATTGCATCATATTGCTAGATTTACAAAGTGTATCAAAACTCTTAGACTACCGTCAAAACTAGTCATCGTCTTCGGTAGTAAATAGTAATATTTTCTTAAAACATTCTAGCATTGTAAGTGAATAAAAATTGACAGCTTGTCTTGTTTTTAGGTTTTTTCTTAGCATCATTTACATCTACAATACTACGTGTACATCATCCACAATATTATTATTCTTTATTTAATGCATCAATATCAACGGTTAGTTGTGAAACAATATCATTAAATCTTCTTCGACATGAATCATTTATTTTAACAAAAAAAAATTTTTATGATACAATGATAAAATGGCTTTTATTTAGTACAATATTAATACATATTATTAAAAATCTTTTATTAATTTGTATACGTTTTAAAATGTTTTTTGGTTTATCAAATATTTTAGAATTAATTGCATTAATTTTAAGTATTATTTTTTCACATGATTTTTATTCATGGCAAATGTCAATACGTTTTCGATGTTCATTTCAATGGCAATGTGGAGCTATTGGTATTCTTATTGGATGGATAACATTAAGTAAATTTATATTTGATTTTATATTAAATTTAATCTATATAGAATCCGAATATAAATTAATAAATTAGTCAAACTTTGAAAATAATGATAAAGATCTGACGAGGGAACATTTTCAACTGTCAAATCCCTTTTGAGTTCGGACTTTGTGCATAAGGTAGGCCCCTGTGAGATATGAAAAATTCCAAAAGATTAAATCCCCTTAGGTCTTCTGTCCAGAGTTATAGACATTTTACTGGAAGTTTAGCCTATGGTATGATATATACCGACAAATTGAATGACGGCATTCCGCCCTAAGATTTTGTCCACAGACAGGTCTATTTATGAGTGGGATCATTCCACTCATAAATAGACCTGTTTGTGAGCAAAATCTCAGATTGAAATACCGCCATTCGATTTGTTCGTATATACCATGTCCTAGGCTAAAATTCCAGTAAAATGCCCATAACTCTGGACAGAAGGCCTAATGGGATTTAATCTTTTGGGATTTTTCATATCTCATTGGGATCTATCTTATGCACAATGTTCGAACTCAAAAGGGATTTGACAGTTGAAAATGTTCCCTCTTGATTAGAAAATTTAAGAGTGCATTGTCAACAAACTTATCACATCTGAAATATAGATTAATCTAACTATGTAGAAAAGAGACAATATTTTTCGTCATGTATTTTAATAATCGAGAAGAGTAACTAATATATAATCAAAATATAGAATGAAATTTTTCATGATACAGTCCTATTACAATCTATAAGACAAAACATCAACGTTAATTCTATATATATATATATATATATTGTTTTTTATTGAAATTAAATAGATTTATAATTATTTTTCTTTAGTTATTTATGTTCAATTTCTATCAGCTTCAGGTATCTATGTTGTTATGTTAGAAGTTATACTTCGAAAATTTTTACGTTTTATTCCAATATTAATTATATTTATACTTGGTTTTGGTTTATCATTTCATATGTTATTACAAAATCAAAATGTTTATCATCATACATTTGATGCAATAATTCGTACAATATTAATGCTTACAGGTGAATTTAATTATGAAGAACATTTATATCGTCAAGAAAATGAAAATAATCAATATTATTATCAAATAATATTTTTACTTTATATATTATTTTGTATATTAATAACAATATTAATTATGAATTTACTTATAGCAAATGCTGTTGGTGAAATTCCACCATTAATTGAACGTGCTAATGTTAAATATTCAATAATGCGTATTAAATTAATAATGGATTATGAAATATTTTTATCAACATTTGATTTTCTAATACCATATTTAAAAAAACGTGTAAAAAATTTAATTGATAATAATCAAAATGAAATTATTTATCCAAATAAAATTCATCGAAATAAACATAAATATTATCATATAAAAAAATTTTTTACTGATCAAAGAAAAAATTTTTTATTAAAAACAAATGAAGAAAAAATTTGAACAAATTATTCAAGAAAATTTATCTGAATTTTATTAAATATAAGAATAAAACTATACTATATAATTGTTTATGATTTTTCTTTGTTGTGTGTGTGTGTCAAAATCAATTCTTTCGATGAATACATCGATTTTGATTATATCAAATAAACACAAGATAAAAGAATTATCATATATCGAATAGATTTTATTTAATCTGACATATTTATCTATGATTTTAAATTGCTTGTTTATGTATATTTGCGAGGAAATAGTTCGAGTGTAGGTCGAAATAAATTCATTTAACTTTCATGTCAACGGTGATTATAAGGCTTTCGCTCATAAATGGAATATTCGTAGGATAGTAGCGAAAGACTTTCTCTATTTATTGATGTATGCAGGGATGTCATCCTCCCACGTCTTTAAAAACTTTCGATTTTCTTCAATGAAGTTTCCTAATTTTATTCATTTTTTCTTCATCAATTCTCAAAAGCACTGCTCAAACTCCTCTGCTTTCAACCTGATCAAATTTTATTGCGTGTCGTGTAGATGTCAATAGAGGGTACTAACTTTCCTGTAACTACGATCGTATAGGATAGAAATAGTACCCATATTAACAACTCAATAGTATACATTAAAAATCAACATGATTCGTCTTTTTTCTGTTAAACTGAACAAGAGTTCTGTAGAAGCAAAAAAAACCGTTTAGATATTGATGTAGGACAGATAATATCTTTTTAGTTAGTAGTAAAGATGTGATATCGAGATTGAACCATAGTTAGAAAAGCTCTGAAGTATGAATTGTAAACGATGTAGTTTTTTCTCATTGACCTAAATCGAAGTCATTAAGATAGATCCGATAAAATCCCTGAACTATTTGACAATTTACAGTCATTAGATATAGTTAATAATATCTCACAGTCGAAAAGTACTGGATACAACAAAGTCTCATCAGTAGCAGATTTCAGCCGATAGAATCTTTAATTAGACTTTTAAAATGCTTTATGTAATTATTAGAAAACATTTGAAAAAAAAATATTCGTAATACTTTTTATGCCAATCCAAAGAAATTTTTTGCTCATTCAAGTCGAATATTCAGACTCTTGAACGAACATTGACGTACAAAAAACGGTGAAATTCATGATTTTAGATTGATTTTTTAACAATTGAATGTAACAACCAATTAAATTACAATTTAAACTGTTCAGTTTTAGCCAATTGTAGGCAATATAGAATAAAGATGGAGCGAAAAATAGTTTCCTATACAATCCCACAGGACCTAATTTCTTTGTTCTTGGCATCTTGCTCATCGAACTGACTAGATCAATCAAAATAAAATAAAAAAACATTCAAATTCTGATCAAAATCTTTACCCATTAAAATCTTTTTTTTGTTTTATCGATTCATCTGCTTCTATGAACTAGCCAATTTTGACAAAACACAATACTTAGTAAACAATACATTGCAACATAAACTATGATTGAGCAAAAGACTTCTTTTTTCTTTACTTAATCATCAATTCATATAATCTCGAAATGAACAAAATACAAATAAATATAGATCAATATCATGTAAGATGTAACTATATCTCAATTTATTCAAAAATTTGAACATCATATTGTTCATTCGTTATGAACGAAAATTTCAATGTGAGAAAAATCAACATTATTCTCAATGAAAAATAGAAGGTTGTATTTTTATATCTTGTTGATCTAGATGATTATCCGATGTTTACTGACGCAATCAATTTTTTGTTTTTCTCTCTTTTCTCAATGCTACCAAATTATGCTATTCACACGGAATTACTTTGTATATTTAACATGAACTATGTTTGAATGTTAATGAGAAGACAAGGAAATTTCATGTGCTTCTCGGAACAATTATCGCTTGATAATTATCCATTGCAATTAGACAAAAAAAAACTAATATAACCTATTGTATCAAGTGGTTTCATTAAACAATAGAATTGTTGTTCAAGTAAAATCAAATGATAATAACCATCATTATAGTTGAAATGCAAGAAATTCGTATCATCATAGATTTGTTCAATCTTGTTTTTTTGCTCGTTTTGAATTGATCATTGTAAAATTCAATATTCAATAAATATTTTTTTGTGTTTTTTGCTTTTGACTGATAAAAGGTGTTATTCCCACGATTAAGATCAAAGAACGAGAAGCAACGATATCTTATTGTTGCACCTGGATGACGCATGTCATATATCCAATTTTTTTCTCGTATGTTGAGAAATGCAAACATACCACGAAGAGAAAAAAAAGAAAACTTGTCGGTATGATCAAAAATATGAAATTTATGAATCAACAATAGCAAGCAGGTGAATTTATTACTATTTCTCTTACTTATTACTCTGTTAGATATGTGTATGTTCATACGCTCCGCCTACTGAGTATAGACACTTGAACATTAGTAATATTCACTGACGGATGAAAAAAAAAAGAAAACTACAAACGATTATAATGTTCATTCAAGTGGTTATGAACATGCTTATACATACATACACGTATGTTCATTTAATAGAATCATATTCGACTTTTTGTCTTATGTACAATACGATAGGACGGAGGGCAGATTTATTTTAAAGTTGAAATAAATAAGTGTATAAGACCTTTGAACTAATGTGACCATCTATTCTCTTAATGTGACTATAAGTCATCATTAAGTGTTACTACCCTCCAGCAATAATTGACTTATAGTATTTCCGTAATGGATAATAGAGAAGAGAAAACAAAAATAACAACTTGAAAATTTCATTTTCGTTTACAATCAACCTTGCGAATAAAGATCAATATATAGTTTATATATAAGTTTGTATGTGCATCAATTTTTCAAAGAATAACGACAACAAACTTTAAGTGTATATAGCATATAGGCACTGTTCTTTTCTTAAACAAAAGGTGATAATTAAAAAGTTGTGTATATACTACCCTAGGTATAATTTTAATTAGACATGCGATACTATTATTCTTATGAGCGGGCATTTTGATCTTAGTATCAAAAATTCAATAGAATGGAAAACTAAAATAAATTGAAAAAAAAATATATGCATTAATACCATTGTTCAACTATGATAGCTGGGAACTTCTGAATTTGTATGACTGTTACTATAAGCGAATGCTGATCGCCTTACAAATTAAAAGTAATGAAACTATTCTCTTCTATCTATGATATGAAATTGATATGTTAGTTCTCAATTGTTACTGAAATATAAATATTTTATAATCGAACGTCACTTTTGAATTTTCCAAAATTCAACTGCGGAATCTTATTTTCATCTTGAAAATTGCGCCGAATACAATTAAAATATCTTTCAATTGGTTACATTAAGTATGAGGATGTTTGTAGATCGATGTGCTACTCGAATGCTTATCGATATACTAACAAAACACAATGACTTCTCAATTAATACAATCATCAATGAATAAATTAAGTAAAGATTTGAATATTTATGAATAGTTTTCTATCGAAAACAGTTCTTGTATATAAAACCATTCATGTGAGCTTTGTTTCAGTTTTTCTCTCAATTCAATATTGATCGCATTCAATCTTAGATGTGAAATTTGTCTTGGATGATCCAAGTTGTAATGCTAACACATACATACTTATTGAAGTATTCATCTTATGATAAACAAATCTTGTTCATATCGTTTCATTAACTCAAAAAAATGGTTGGTTAAGTCATAAATTACTATTTATAAGTTCACATTTGAGGTAACAATACTCGCACTAAGTCTATGTTGCCAGCTTTACATTCTGGATCTGTAGAGGTTGACAAGTCCAATACCTACATCCAGTAATCGAAAACATTTTTTCTACTGATCGGAACATTCATGTCATGACTATTTAGCTTATTTCTTTCTCTCCTCTGAGGTAAGAAATGCAGAGATTGGTAATTCCAAAAGTTACCCAAAGCTTTAAATATATTTTGAGATTGAAGCCAAAGGATATTTCAGTGCTTAAACAAAACAATATTACACATACATAATGAAATCTTTAATTTCAAGAACGAAGAAATAAAATTTTACTCGACATAGCTTGAAAAATTATCTATCTAATGATTTAACAGTTTCGATTCTAATATTTTTTAAAACCACCGAACACTAGTGTAAGTGATATCTTCTGTACACCTACATCCACACGCGCACTTTCTATGTATTGATACAACAATCAAACCAATACTTGGATATTAACTACAATTAGTTACAGACAAATGTATTAGAAATATCTATAGTCGCAATCGAAGTGCTCCTATAATCTTACTATCATACTGTCCCTAGCATGAATAAATACATATACATTCAAACTAATTCTTTGATCTACACAGTTAGTCACAATATGATTATTTGATTCTAATTAGTTTATATCAAAAATGATGTATATAGTATTGCTATTTAAATTTAACATCATAAAATATGTTCACATACAAACAACTTTTTCAATATTGATTATGTAAGTATACATTAAAACTTGTGAAGACTATTTTTAAAAAAAAAAGAATTCTCATGAATTATTAGATAATTTATATATTCAAAATCACACATACATTTACTGTACTAATATGTATATATATATATATTTATCTTTTTTTATATATATGGTTTCCAAAGTTTTGATGATGATGGACTTGTAGAATTTGATGATATACTTGATGTTGATGATGATGAACATGAATCATTAATAATAATTTGAAGACAGTTTGGTTCAATTATTTGTTGTTGATAAGGATGATAATATATTAATCGACGATTTATCCACATTTGTCGACAACAATTAGCTAAACATTGACGTTGTTCAGGATAAATATTTGGTAATGAATGTATTAATTTCCATATTTCTTCTGAACATTGTTTATAACCATTTTCATAATTTTCTATTGAATTATTCATTCGTTGTTTTAAATTTCGAACATATGTTACAGTCATTTCAAGTATTTCAGCTTTTTCTAATTTTTGATAACGTACTTTCTAAAGTAAATGAAATGAAAAAAAAACAACAAATAAACACATAATATTATAAATATATTTAAGATAAAAAAAAAAAAAAAAATTTTTTTTACATCATTAGTTATTGCTATAAGATCTTTTAATTCATCAAGACTTTTATTAATACGATCACGTCGTTTTTTTTCAACACATGTTTTAACAAACTAAATAATCATCACAAAGAAAAGTGTTCAAAAAATTGTATAAAATTAAAATAATAAACTTACTTTTCTTGAATTTTCTTCTGCTAGATCATTATAATCATACATTAACATCATAATTTTTAAATTTCAAATGTATTTGACAAGAATATGTCAATGGTCAAATGAAGAAATTCGTTTTTTTGTTTGTTTTAAATAAATATAGAGAAAGAAAACGAGAGAGAGAGAGAGAGTACAGACGAAAAAAAAAAAGTGATTGGTCACTGTTCGATAATCGTTTTTTTTTTCTACGAACGAGAAGACACGCGTACAAAAGATAGATGTTTATTTTATACCAAAAGAAACCTTGTCTATGTATGTTTACATATTCATAAGTAGTGATCTATGAGTTCTAGAGAAGAAAAACATCACACGATAGAACTTATTTCGAATAGTATCTCTCTTATTTCTTGTTAATTATTATTGATGAGAAAAATTATTTAAAAAAAGAAAAAATGTTTCAACATGGTTTTTATATTATCAGCGGCTTCACATATGTGTTTTTATTTGATCTGAATAGATATGAAGTGTGTATGAACATTTGTTTTAATTGAACGAATTTTAAACAAACTTTCCCATAGTTGAGAAAAGAAAAAACTCAATTGGATTCGAAATCGATGTGTAATATTTTTCTTTTTTTATCAATATACTTGAACGATAGACACCTCAGTAATAATAATAAGTGGCAAGGATGAAGTCTTACAAAAAAAAGACACTTTCACTGACAAACTTCATCACTATGTTTGATGGATACACTTGCAAAAAAAAAAACATTTATTTTTCTTCAAGTATTATAATATATATGAATTGAAATCTTCGTAAAATTTGTTTTTTTTTTTTATTATTTATCCTATATGAAAATACACAACTATACTAGTTAATTATATAAAATTCAATGAATTGATTAAGTCAAATAATAAATAAAATCAAAATTTTAGAAGTTGTTATAATTATTTAATTTGAAAAATATTTTTGTGATAATAATTATTTGTCATGTAATTTAAGTGAATCTAATTTTTTTTTAATCCATGAAATTCTATCATTTCCCCAAAATGGTTCATCACGTACAATAAATGTTGGTACACCAAATATATGATCTTCATCAGCTTCATTTTGTGCATTTAAATAATCTTGTTGTCCTTGATTCATAGCATAAGTTTGAAAATCTTGTGAAAATTTTTCAAATGATATATTTTTATTTGATGTTTCATAAAGAAGTTTAGTTATTACATTAAGATCTTCAATATTTAATTGACGTTTAAAAAAAAGTTCAAATGTACGTTGAGCATATCTATGAAAAAAATTATGTTTATCAGCATATAAACCACCAATTAATGAAAGACGAGAATCAAATAAACGTTCTGGTCCACGAATAATCATACTACGTTCATTAGCAAAACGTCGACAATCCAAATATAAATATCGAACTTTATTCCAATTAAGTTTATTTCGTTCTTCAAGTTTTCCACCAAAAGATTCTTCAGCTCGAAATGCCCATGGAATAAAACGTAATTGAATAGGATATTCTTTTTCTAATTGTAATGCTGGTTCTAATGCTAAATAAGTATATGGTGATTTAAAATCATAATAAAATTTTATTATTTCACGTGTTTTTCCAGTTGTATATGAACGAATAAACCTTATTGGAAACATTCTTGAATAAAGAAACAAAAAAAAAAAGAAACAGAAAAAGAAAAGAAACAGTCGATAAACTAATTTGTGTCACCCTGTCATTCTATATTGCTTTGATTTTTCAAACAAAAGCAAGATCAGCAGAAAAAAAAACATGATGTGTTCTATTGTTATTCAACAATAAAATATAAACAAATATAAGACAAGCTGATTGTGGAAAATATAAGAATAATAAATAATCATACTATGCGTACGGTCAATTACATATAGAACAATAAATATTAGAAATATACGCAACAAAAGAAAAGAAAAGAACATCGAAATGTTTCTTTTTTTGTTTTATGCAGCTGTTTTAGGACGTTTTTTTATTTGTGCACGTCTCTTTTTTTCAGCTTCTTCACGTAAAATATCTTCAATATCTTCTTGAAGACCTTGTCGTCGACTAAAATTAATAAAACAATTTTTTTTTTAAAAAAAAATTTTCTTTGTTTTTTTTGTTTTTTTAATATACCTGTATTCTTCTTCTTTTTCTATTCGATCAAATGATGATTCCATATTTCTTAAATCATCTTCATCATCATCATCAAGTAAAAATCTTCCATGATATCTTAAAAGATAATTTTAATATAAATATTTGTTATTAAAAAAACATTTACTTACTTATTTTTATCAAAACCAAAATTTTTCTTTAAAGTTTCTTGAAGTTCTCTTTCATAATCAGATTCATCATTGTCATCATCCACAATAAAATCACGCATGTCTATAAAAAAAAACAAAAACAAAAAATCTTGAATTTTATATTTTAAATCTCATTGTTAAATATCTAACATCAATTGAAAATGCTAGAATTTCCAGTTTTTTCTTCTTCTACGAGTGAACTATTCAATGATGAATATCTCTTTATTCTGCACGATGGACATTTATTTTTGATTCCAGAAAAAATAACAATCTTTATTATGTGAGAAAGCATGGTAGTATTTTTCAGTGTACATTTTACATGATTATTTCTCAATAAAGTGTAAGATATTCTAATTATCTAATAAAACGAATCATTTTATATCTTAAAAACAATTCTTCTATTCCGATTAAAAATTTTCATTGTATGATATCGAAAATTTTCGACTCGATGGACTCTAACTCTCTTATCTTCACTATGTGTTTCTTAACTATACATTATGCTTATCCTATAAACATCATATTTTTTCTGATTTTATACAGATACATAATCTTTACTTTTCTAATTGTTTTGATTTCTCAAAAAACAAAATTCTGAATGTGAATGAGAAATTGCATTAATTGTGTAGAATCACAACTCAACAAAATGAATGATTCAAAGTACATTTTCTTATGAGCAACATTTGTTCTATATTATAACGTATAGAAAGAAAAAAAACCGATATTAAGATATAAAAAAGACAATAGACTAATCGTGTATAGTTTAAAGAAAGAGAAAAAAAAAACAATAGTAAAAATACTTGATGAAGTTTGCTATTGTTTTTATATTTCGAGTAAATAATATCAAATCATATTAATACATGTTTATCTTATCTTTGATTAACTTGACTTAATTATTGAAAAGAAGAAATAGATAATATCTATAGAACTATCGCTAAGCATTGTTTCTAATCGATTTATTTAACTTAATATTTCAATATAAGAACCAAAAATAGAGTAGACTTTATTTATTCTCATACGAAAAAAGAAAGCTCAATCTTCGAAATAGCATTGTCATTTCAAATTACAGATATTGTCGACTAAAAAAAAGTCTGATTTGTATTCTACAAATATAATTACTCATAATTTTACCTTCATCATCTTCTTCATCATCCGTATCGAGAATAGGACGTTTTCGAGCTAAATAAAACAAACAAATTAATTAGTAATCAAGTGAAAAAAACATTTATAATTATTAAATTTACAACAGTAGAATCTACATGATAGATCAAAAGTACGAAAGAAAGATACTAAATTTTAATAGTATTTATCTTTATGTTAAAAAGTAATGAAATATTCAAGATTAGTGAGCATATGACTTTCTTTATTATTTCAATGAGAAAAGCTAACGGATATAAACAATTTGATTAGATATTTTTTTTTTACAACTCACATGGTAACATTGGTGGTCTTTGTCCATTCATCATTCGTTTTGGTGGTATTAGTCTTTGTCCATTTACTGTTGGATTTGGTAATCTTGATCTTTGACCATTTGTCATCTGAGTTGGTAGTTTTGGTCTTTGGCTATTTGTTATTTGATTGGAAGGTATTGGTCTTTGGCCATTTGTTGTTTGGTTTGATGATGTTGGTCGTTGACCATTTGTTGGCAGTCTTTGTACTTTGAACATTTGATTTTGTGTATTTTTTTGTCCATTCACTGTTTGATTTTGTATTGGTTTTTGTACATTTGTTGATGATGTAGGCTTGATCGATGGTTTTATATTGTTCGATGATGAACTTAATGTATTCGATTTTGGTTGATTTTTATTAGATTTTGATGTTATAGATGGTTTAGTTGCTGTACTGGTTTTTGTTACTGTTGTTGTTGTTGTTGTTTTTGAAGATATAGGATTTTTACGATTAGTTATAGTTTGTAATGATTTAGATGTAGAAACAATATTTTTCGATGATGTTGAATTAATAGAATTGGATGATGATTTTTGTGAGTTATTTGTACGAAGTGATTTAACAACATGAGCTAATTCTTTTGGTATTGGTTGTTTATTAGCTTTGAGTGATGCATAACGCATAAGATCATCAAAAGAAACAATTGGTGCATCTTTTTTAACATCATTTGATGGTTTAATAGGTGCATTGATAGATGGTTTTGGTTGTGTAAGTTTTTGTTGTTGTTGTTGTGTTTTTGATTGAAGTATTGCTTTTTGTTGTTTTTTTAATTCATTAGCTCTTTTTAAACGTTGTTCTTCTAAAAATAAAATGAAAAGTTTGTTTTTTTTTTTATTTTTCTTGAAAAATTAAAATCTAACCAGCTAATTTTTCTTGTTCTTGTGCTTGACGTCGTCGTTCAAGAATCATTTTAATTGCTGCATCATTAACTGGTCGAGATTTATCAGCTTGTTGATTTAATTTTTCACGTTTTCGACGTTGTTCTTCAAGCTATTCAATGAAAATATTTGTTTTTTTTTTTGTAATTCATTAATTTTTAACAAAATTATATTTTATTTTTCTTACTTCTTGAGCAGCAGATCGACTATTTTTATCAGCAACACGTAATAATTCAGCCCAAGTTTGTGTCATTATTATTCTCTATAATAAAGGCTACAATGAAAAACAAAACTTAGATGAATCGTTCTATATATATATATGTAATACATTTGCAATCACATTTGTCCATGAATAAATGATTGTTCTTACAGCTGATCATCGTCATATCGATTTTTATTGGTATTGAATCATCCAATAATATTTAGTTTTGAATGTATGATGACGACAAGCGAAAAAATAAAATAAAAATATTAAATAATTTCTATACAATTTTGATTTTTTTGAAAATAATTAGACTAATAAAATTATAGAATATTATTTTAATCGAAAAATATATTTTTTAAAAGATTGTTTCAATTTTTGTGTTCGACATGAATATGACTAGTGGTGTAGCCATCTCATATCACATGTTTTTTTTTTGTCACTAGTATCGATATAAGGCGATAACGTTTATGAATTTTAATTAGTCAACTATAAGCAATTGCAAAGCATATTTATTTTCTATGTCAAATCAAATTAATCAAGAAGAAAACTCTTTCAGTATTTATTCACAGCTAGAGCTAATTTGGTCTTTTTGGCTAGTACAAGTCGCTGAGATGCATCAAAATGAACGAAGTACATTTCTAATAAGTTTTGAGACATATTTTTTTCATGATTAATTGTTGACATTTACTATCAAATAGATATAATTTAAAGAATGAAACTAAATTAATGTCCATTTCAGAGTAAAATGGACATGAGCATTTTTTGAATAACTTATGATAGAAACGAGATAGAAATCTCCGATTTTCACTGTTGGAAACAGTAGATGAAGACGCATCGAATTATATAGAGAAAGATTTTTCTAACTATTTTTCTATAGGTTGTAGATAAAACTTCAAGAAAAACAGCATGTTTCTCATGACCACGATATTAATTTATTGATTTTCAGGAGTGCCCTAGAATAACTATATCAAGATGCTGTTCCTAACTACTACCAGTATGATATCCAAATCATCGGAGCACAATTCACCATCTCATTTTTGTCAACAAAATAATCGAAGAATGTAAATTTTTGTAGTATTTTGATAGAAAAGTCACTTTTTTTAACGTAGGAGAAAAAAATCAATTCTTTGAAAACTTTTGACTAAACATATAGGAAAGTAGTTAGAAAAATCTTTCTATATATAATTCAATGCGTCTTCATCTGCTCTTTCCAACGGTGAAAATCGGAGATTTCTATCTCGTTCCTATCAAAAGCCATTCAAAAAATGCTCACGGCCATTTAACTCTGAAATGGACATTAATAATAGTACGAATAAGGGTTTGTTGAAATTACAATTCACTTTTCAACAGGAATCAGCATTATGTGAATGAGTAACATTCTCATATTCAATTATCTTGAAAAAAATTGTGAACTACTGATTGATACAAAAATTTGATAATAAATCGATGGTAAATTTTTATAATATAACGAACTGTTTTGTGTTTGATTGTTATTATCCAGATGCATGTGATTGTCAGTTTGTACTTGAGGATATTAAATGATTGTTAAAAGTAACATTTAATGCATTGATGTCGATTATTGTTTGATTGTTGATATCTAGAAAGGGAAAAAATAAGTTAAAACAAAATTAATCTGTGTGCTAGAAGAATTTTTAATTATTAAGTTTTCAAAAATAATATTTTCTTTTTTACAATAAAAATTGTTTTATGATTTTATGAAATTTAAATACATGTCTTATCAACAATATATGGATTAATTTAGATAAAGATCGAAGAATACTCAGAAAAAAAAAATCGAAATTTACAACTATTTCAACAGATAGTAATAACAATATGAGATATACTCATCGCCCAGGAATTGAATATTCAAAAACTCAATGGGATACAATTTTTGCAATACATATATCAGGATTGTATATGCTTGCCTTTATAATCCTGTCGAAGAGATTGTGTGTCAGTGTGTTTCAAGCTCTTTCATTCGAGAATGCTTTAAATGTTTCGAAATCGAAAGAACTCAAGAAAATGAAGTAAAATTTACTGCTTGAATGTTCTTAAATTGGATTGTATGGATTGATCTTCTTAACTCTTTCTTTGGTTTTGTGTGTTCGAACGATTCAAGATACCATAATTATACAGTACTTTGAATTTTCAATTTGTGGATGGTGCATACTGTTGATTTTCAAAGAGCGAAGAATATATCTTTTCTTGAATATTTTCCAAATACTTTTCGGGTTTTATTTTTCTAGAAACAGTTTCATCGGATCGATATACTTTTTTATTGAAATCATACGTCGATAGTTATTTAAACGGAAAAAACGATGTGGTTGTAGATATGTAATTGAAGAGAAAATACTGCTACCGACATTTACTCACATCCTTAATCGATTATAATTAATATAAATAAAAGAAAATCATCTTATTTTTTTCTGCAATATTTTTTCTACAGAAGTATTAGCGCATTGATTTCTCTATCAGACATTTACAATATAATTCGATGATTCGAAAATTTTAGATTTATTTCGTAAACTTTATCAAATCTCTAGACGACTCAAGAAAGCATATATAATATATTCGATTGCTAGGATATAATAAAATGAAATCTTATAAATGTTCATTATTTTGTATAGTCATTCTTTAATTATGAGAAGAACGCTTGTCAACTGTCACCTGCATTGCACAAATGATTCCAAGCCTTGCATCCCAAAAAAAAAAAGATTTTCGATTAAGATAGTCGTAGTGATGTAAGATATGAATTTCAAAAAAAAAAAAGAAGAACTATAGCAAATCCAGATTTTCGACAGTTAAATTTTCTATACAATAAATGAAATCATTGGAATTGTAAAGAACAAAATTTAAGAATCAGATTTTTATTGTCTTATAAGATATATTTTTTGCTTTAGATTTATTTTCTTATAAAATCAAAAATAGATGTAGCGAACATAAAAAAATGGGCATAATACATTGGTGTTGTTCAGATCAAATTTGAAGCATTTGAGATTAAACAACTAGTCTGAAGTCCATATCAAATTTACAGTAAATCTGTTTTGAACACTCATTAAGCAATACTCGATATCAAACATCAAAAGAATGAATGACATATGTAAATGACCAAAAAACAAAATATCAAGAGTAAATAAGCATTCTTTTAAATATGTGTGTATCATTTTTTTCCTAATGATATATTAAATTTTTGTTCTAAATGTGATTTGCCTTTCTGTTTAATCCAATTAAGGTAACAGGTTAAATGATGATGAAAAAGAAGAAGATACGTATACTCTTTTCTTGTACGTATATCACGATTGAAATAATGCTTATTTCATTGATTTTATTGTTCTTTGTACTCATAATATTCGACTCAGAGTAAGTATGAACAGCCGTATTATTGTCAAAGTCTCAATGAAAAAGAAATGAGCCTACAAATATTTGTTTATTAGATTTTGAGACTCGTCTATTTTGAGACCATTGCTTCAAGGACAAAAAGTCAATGACACAAAGAATAATAATTTCGTATAATAATTCAATGATAACGATAGGTAAAAATAGTATTTCAAAATACAATATTAAATTCAAGTGCATTCATTTCATTCTTTGGTATACTTAATCTTAAAATAATGACATTCAATATTGCCAGTTGTAGTGAAACGTCGAGCAGCATTGTTAATGTCGTACATAATATTGAACAAGAACAACGAGATCTTGTTGTTTTATAGAAAGTTGATAAGTTCACACGTCGATCAATAATCTAATATTGCTCATCTCACTCATCTAATTCATTCATTCAATGATAACGAATTAAAATAGTATCTTCATGGAAAAATTGAGCGTGAGACACATTCGATTGGCATTATTTCTTTAAAAATTAGCAATAAATATCGACTCTTCTTCGGTGTCATGCATGCTGATTATGATACAATCGTTTATTCTTGTCGGTGATTTTAACGATTTATCAAACAATCAAACTCATAGATTATTATTGATTGACAGATGATTAAGATTTTCATATGATAAATGTATCCTAACATATTCAACTAATAAGTTAAGTCAAACATTTGATTACATGATGATGAATTCTAAAGCTTGGAACACATTTTTATTAAAAAGTTATCAAGTTCCAGATGTTAAAAAAAGCATCACTGATCATCTTTCAGTAATTATAGAATTTAGATTTTAAACTATTGCTTTTTGGTTGAATATTTGTATTTATAATTTATTACTTAAAACTTTATCAATATAGAAGTTATTATTAAAATTGGTTATTCATCGAATCAGGATATGACAATAAATAAGAAAAATTATTCTTAGAATCTACTTCTATTTGGAAGGATATTTGCATGCATCTTATCTAGTTGTTTCCTAGTCAGAATCATTATTCGTTCTTTCGATGTTTTACTTAATCATTAGGTCTGACATCGTTCTACATTTAGTCTTAGCAGTTTATCAATGGTACAAAATAGTGTTTTTATGTCAACATATATATATATATATATATATATATGTTGAGATCGAAGTATTTCAATTCGACTGTAATGCAAATCAGTTCATTGTACCATGACAACAGTAAAACATTGAGTCAAATGATGAATGCAGTCAAAAAAGATTTGATCAATTCAACTCGATCTAGTCGATCATGTTCAACGATTGGAACATAGATATCCAAGAATTGTTTCGCTGGTCAAATTATAGACGTTTATCACGAACTAAGACATCTTAAACCAATCGAACAGAAAAAGAATCATGATCAACGAGAGGACAGTACGGTCGCGCTTAAATAAAGCAGCAGGAATTAGCTTGTCATATTTACAAGTGTATTCTCTTGCTAATATCTCGAAAATAAGTTGTTCATGTTTAGATATTGTTGAAACTGCAAGTAGACAGCTATCACAAATACATATTGAAATTACAAGTTAATTAGAAAATGAATAATAATCATCTTCGTTCCAAATAATTCATATCAATTCTACTCACTTCCTACATGATTAGTTACTCAAATTTGAAATCTTTCGACTAACTTCTTTAAACTATCAGAAGAAACATTATGCTCACAAAGATGCATCGTTATACGTATGAAGAAAATTACGATGCATATAACAATGGAAAATGACTAAAGAAAAAACAAATGATTGATATTGCACACGAACAGAAAAGAATCAATAGCATGACGCATCTCGATCACATATTTTATACACGTTATAATATTTTTTTGTATACATACATTCGCACAGCGTTATTGGCAAAAGTCAACCACTTCTTTTTTCAGTGAGGTATGCGTCATATAGCCAATCAGTGCGTAATTTTTAAAATATTATCATACTTTCTACTATATTGGCTCATTTAAAAAGGTAAGTACAGTCACATGGAAGAATGATAGTTATTGCCGCTTTCTTCTTTACTTATTTATTCTTATATGAATAAGAATCGATATTTTTTGTCACTATTCTAATTCTGTACATCGCAACATCGTAAACAAGTCTTATTTAGTGTTATTTTCCAGAACGAGATCAGTTTTAATCAAATACTAAGTATGACAGAAATACTAGAAGTAATTATCAAAAAATACTTGTGTTATTGATAATTGTACAAATCTGTATTGTCTTTGTAGATTTTTGTTTTTCAAATACATACCTACACATTTCTTATGTTGGTAAAATTTACGGTTTTCTTTTTTCGTTATTTTAAGATTTAAAATCGATCTTTTTGCTTATTCAAGTACGTGTTTGATATTTCAATTGAACAACTATCTTAATGCTTTTACCATCCATTGCAAGACGTTCCATTATGCTGGAAAATGTATCAGAAATTATGAACAGACCTAACAACAAAGAGGACTTCACTCTGATTTGGTTCGATTCAAAGAGCGATTCCAATAAACATGTAGAACAAACAAAGAAACAATTACGTCAAATCAATGATTATATTGTATTCCATACACAATTTGAATCTTGCATCAATTACATTCAATCAATTAATAATGAAAATATCTTCTTCATCACTTCAATGTATGATGCATCACAAATATTATCTAATATTGCGACCCTACCTCAAATAGATAGCATCTTTATTTTCAACTGGGAAAAAGTCGATAATGAACATTTAGTTCTAGAACATTCCAAATTGATTGGTATCTATGATGAACTCGATTTATTGTGTTTATCAATTCAAGAACAAATTGATTTTTTCGATCAACATATACAAACATTCAGCTTCTTCGATCAAGATGAATATATAACAAAAGATCTATCTAAACAAACTGCTGATCTTCTTTGGTTTCAACTTTATCATGATGTTCTCTCTGAGTTAACAAATGATCAGCAAGCTAAACAAGAAATGATTGATGCCTGTCGTTTCTATTATAGAGACAATATCAAAGAATTAAAAATGATTGGAGAATTTGAAAATGAATATCGACCAGAAGAAGCTTTTCAGTGGTATTCGAAAAAAACATTTGTCTACAAAATCATCAAAAAAGCATTGAGAAATAAAGATTTCAATCAACTCCATACATTTCGGTATTTTATGAAAGATTTAACAGAAAATTTCGTTCAACAACATCAAAAGATGATTCAATCTTGTAAAGAAACACTAATGATGTATCGAGGACTTAAATTAACAAGTGATCAAATCGAGAAATTTAAAGAGAACGAAGGTAAACTGATTTCAATGAATGGATTTTTCACAACAAGTAGTCTTCGCTCAATTGCATTGAACCAAGCAATGAAACCTTCGAAACGAATTGATCTAATTCCTGTTCTCCTAGAAATTCAATACAATCTACAAGAGTTGAGCGACAATATTGTTGTTGCTGACAGTGCTCATTTTAATGAATCTCTACGTGAAGAAGAGAAAGAAATATTCTTCGATTCAAATACCACTTTTCGATTGGACAATATACGAATGGAAGATGAAATGTATTTGATTAAAATGAGTACATCGAATGAAGGTCATATTATCAAAGAAAAATATATCAAAGACTCACATCGTCAAAGGAAAGATCTAAGCATTAGAATTCTCTTCGGACGATTGATGTGTGATATAGGTCAATGGAATCAATCACAAAACTTCTTCGAACATTTATTAAATGACTCGAGTAACAACAATGAACATCTGGCACAGATTGAATATAGTCTTGGTGAGGTTCTGCAATGGAAAGGAGAATGGAATGAAGCACGAAAATATTATGATCGAGCTTATGGGCGAGTGAAGAATATGAAACCAACACAAACCAAGGATTTAGCTGACATACTCTTCAATATTGGTGAAATCCTCTATTTAGAAGGAAAGTATGAAGAAGCTCGTGATTATTATGAACGTTCATTAGCAATTCGAAAGGAATATTATTCCCTTGTCAAGATTGATCAGTTATGCTCACCGAATTACCTACACAACAGTTTGCTAAGTCGTGTATGCAGATCATTTTGGTTTGTTTTATTGAATTCAGGCAGAATCTTGCAATCGTATTGCATCTGGTTTTGGACTAGATATCTCCTAAAAATATCTTGTTGGTTTCGTTTGAAATATGCAGAAAACACAATGGACATTGTTGACAAACAGTCGAACAAAAGTCAATTACAAGAAATGTGTCGAAAGTTACTAGAAACCGGTCGGTTACAATTGAGTGAAACTCGATTGGATGGTCATGTGTCTATCGCTGCTAATCTCCGCAGCTTCGGCAAAATACTCTTCCGACAAGCCAAGTATGATGAAGCACTTATCTTTCATCGGCAAGCACTGGTGATGCTCGAAGAATATTACCAATCTCCTCATATCGACATCGCTGTTAGTCTTGGCTACATAGGTCAAGTTCTTACATATCAAACAAAATATGATGAAGCCCTCGATTTTTGTCAACGAGCTATGGTAATATATACAAGATATTATCCAAATGGTCATGTATACATCGCCTCTACTCTCAACTACATTGGTTACATTGTCTATCTTGAAGGCAAACATGATGAAGCTCTGAAGATTTATGAACGAGCATTGACTATACAACAAAAGCATTATCCATCTGGTCATGTTGATATAGCTCGTAGTCTTTGTGGAATAGGAAATGCTTATTATGCACAAGGAAAATATGATGAAGCTCTAATATTTCAACAAGAAATGCTGGATATTGCACAGAAATATTATTTTCCTGGTCACGACGATATTATTTGTGGTTTAAACAACATTGGCTATATACAAAAGGAACAAGGACAGTATGCTGCATCTCTTTATTTTTATCAACAAGCACTAGCACTACAAGAACAATATTATCCATCTTATTATGCTAACATTGCTAACACTCTCAATAACATTAGCAATACACTATTTTGTCAGTCAAAATATGATGAAGCTCTAAATTATTGTCAACGAGCACTAACGATGCAAGAGACCTATTATTATCCATCGGGCAATATTTCAATGGCCTCAAGTCTCAACAACATTGGCAACATCTTAGATTGTCAAGGAAACTGCAAAGAAGCTGCCGGTTTTCTTCAACGAGCATTAGCAACTGTTGAAAAACATAATCCATCTGATCATTCTTCTATTACTTTTTATTTGAATAACATTGGAATTGTAGTATGCAAGCAAGAAAACTATGATGAAGCTCTTGATTATCATCGGCGAGCACTCGAAATTCAAGAAAGATACTGTCCATCTTGTCAGCATGAGATAGCCAATACTCTCAATTATATAGGTAATGCTCTCATTGGACAGAAAAAATACGATGAAACTTTGACGTTTTATGAACGTGCACTCGAAATGCAAGAGAAGTACTATCCAAATGGTCATGTGCACATTGCGACAACTCTCATTAATATTGGCACAACATTTCGTCGACAACAAATATTCGATAAAGCCATTGAATATCATCAAAAAGCATTAGAAATTCAACAGAAATATTATCCATCAGACAGTATCTTCATAGCTGATACTATTAATCGTATTGGTCATGTTCTGTACGATGATAAAAAGTATGATGAAGCAATTGACTATTATCGACGGGCACTTTCAATGCAAGGGAGTTCCCATCCTGATGGTAATATCGAAATTTCTCATACTTTCAGCTTTATTGGTAATACTCTATATGAACAGAAGAAGTACGATGAAGCACTTCAACTTCATCAAAAAGCCTTAGCTATTCAAGAAAAACATTATAAATTCGCTCATATCGACATCGCTAAGAGTCTCAACTTTATTGGTAATATCCTATATAGTCAAGAAAAATATGATGAAGCTATTGATTTCTATCAACGATCATTAGATATTCGAGAAAAACTTCATGCATTTGGTTATGTTGGAATTGCTACCGTTCTTAGCAATATTGGAAATGCTTTTCATGGACAACGAAAGTACGATGAAGCTCTTGATTTTTATCAACGGGCACTAAAAGTTCGAGAGAATTTTGATGCAACCAATCATGTTGGCATTACTGATAACTTGATAAACATTGCCTTTGTTCTAAGAGATTATGGCAAGTACAATGAAGCTATCGAATTTCAACAACAAGCATTGATAATACGAGAATACAATTATCCTTCTGATCATTTGAATATTGCTTATAGTTTAAGCAATATCGCTTATATTATGTCTCTACAAAGAAAATATGATGACGCTCTCTATTTCTACCAACGAGCGTTAAGAATCTACGAAAAATGTTATCCATCGAATTCTATTGAGATTGCTAATAGTCTCATTGATATTGCTGATGTTCTCAAAAAACAACGAAAGTACGTAGAAGCCATTCAATTTCAACAGAGAGCATTGAACATTCGAGAAGAAAAATATTCCTCATGTCATGAGAAAATTGCAGATAGTTTGAATCGCATTGCTGACATTCGAATCGATCAAGGAGAATACAATTTAGCACTCGACTCTTATCAACGAGCTTTAGCAATTCTCGAAAACTGCTATCCATCTGGACATGTTGATATTGCTGAGAATCTACGATATATTGGTATCACTTTAAATCGACAAAAAAAATATGATGAAGCTGTAGATTTCTGTCAACGAGCAATGTCAATTTACGAGCAATATTATCCATCCGATCATGAAAACCTTGCAACTTGTCTAGGTACTATTGGTTATATAATGAATAATCAAGGAAAATATGATGAAGCTCTTGATTTTTATTATCGAGCACTGGCATTTTACAAGAAAGTTTCTTCCAATCAGTCAAATACTGCTACTTGTCTGAATAATATAGCTCAAACTTTAAAAAATCAAAGAAGATATAGTGAAGCTGTCGATTTTCAAAAACAAGCATTAGAAATTCTCAAAAGTAATTCATCTAATGATCAATTTGTAATAGCTAACAGTCTCAAAAATATCGGTAATACTCTATTTAAGCAAACAAAATATGATGAATCTCTCGACTTTTGTCGACAAGCATTGATCATATTCGAAGAATATTATCCGAATGATTATATTGAAATTGCTGACTGCCTGTACTGGCTTGCAGCTAACTTCAATAGAAAGTTTCAGTTCGATCTCGCTATTGAATATTTGGAAAGATGTTTATCAATTGAAGAAGCCAGCTTATCTTCAGAAGATCTCTCCATTGCTAATATACTTGACTGTTTGTCACAAGTACAAACAAGAAAAGGTGAACATAAAATCTCTCTTAAATATGAACAGAATTGTTTCTTAATGCGTCGCAAAGTTCTACCACCAAATCATGAAGACATTGGTAATAGTTTATCAAGCATAGGTGAAATTTATGAAAACCTTGATAAATCTACATTGGCACTTGATTATTATCAACAAGCATTAGCTATATATAGGAAATGTTTGCCTTTCTGGCATGATAACATATGGAAGACCACATCGAATATTGAACGACTTTCGGAAGAACTTGGCATAGAACTCAATGATTGATAATGACTTTTTAGATGGTTTCTTTTTTCTCGATTGATTACCGTTCTTATCACAATAAAGTGCTCATGGAAATTCTTAAGACAAGAATACATCGGACTATTCCATGTACATGTTTTCTAACGAAAAATAAATTCATTTAGACTGTATCATTCATTCAACAATAATAAAATATTTCAATAAGTCGAGAGCGAAGTTATTTTTTCGGTAGATCGGCGATTCAATTCACATAAATAATGTGAATGCGAATGAGAAAGAACGCATAATAGTGCAATCAATAGATATTTTTATTGATGATAACATCATCTTGTTGATTTTTGATGACTCATATTTATCAAAATTTGTTCTCGATGTATATACCAGAGATCAAATGGCATCGTCTCAACAATGATTGAATTGTTTCGATGTTACATCTTGAATACAGTAAAAAATGCTCCTAAGAAACAACAGAGGTGAACGTGTTCACCAAAAGGTGGAAAAGACAAAATAAATGAATAATGCGTTTATAACAGATAAGAATGTTTATTTTAACAAGAAGAATCCGTTCTTTCTCGTTTTAGTCTAGCATGGAATGCTCTCATATCATCAGCTTAAATGCTCTCTTCGTCTCTATAAAAAAGCGTTCTATACTGTTGCATCAGGTGCTGTAATATCCTTTTTATTTTTCTATTCTGGAACAATAAAAAGAGAAATCCACAAAAAAACATCGTCTTCTTCGGTGTCGTACAACTGTTGATATTACATAATAGTCAAACTACTGTGTCTAGTGTTGTATGCAAATAAAGATCAATTATTCGTCATTTTAGCGAAGAATGAGCATTGCTGTTTAAGGCAATTAGACATCTTCCAGCTAACGAGACTTCAATAAGGTAAGTCATCCAGTTTTTCCTTTTACGCCCACTAAAGCTTGGTTTGTCACCAAAAATATTGGCTGAACGAAGGAAGCAGTCTACTCGTTCAGAATTCGTCATGATGGTTTTCACCCTTGAAACTTTAATTTTCTCTACGAAAACCTAGACTAAACACTTCTGTGTCAATAATTACAGAGGCTAACACGTGAGAAAGAAAATGTGCACTCATCAACTAGATGGAACGAAAGGTGATAACAACCATAATACGAGCAAAAACAGTCAAAACATATATGCACGTGATCGATAATCAAACAGTAAATAGAAGTTTTTTTTGCATAAAATGTTCTTGAGTAACTCTTATTTTTTACAGAATGAAGCGGATAAGCAAACAAAAAGCTGTATGTTATCTAGTGTTGGCGTTTGGCTTTTTTCCATCAAGGAAGTAGTTGCAAAAATTTTCATTCAGATAAATTGGTAACACGAAAGATGCCTTCCAGGCAGATGCTTTTGCAACAGTTGCTCCCCGGATACTTGGAGCGTAGGGTGATTTTGAGATCTGGATGAGGATGTGGGTGTGGGTGAGTGTTGGATGTGGATGTGTGTAAAGAGAACATTCTCACACCGACACCCATACCCACACCCACACACTCACACCCTCAGCGTTTTCCTACAGAATTAAAATGCGAAATAAGAATGATTAGTTAAGCTCATTAACATGATCCATACTCATACCAACATTGGTCATATTATTCACGAAAATAAGGTAAACTAACATATTCAAATATTTGTCGTCATCAATGATACTTCATAAGCCTTGTAAATATGTTTGTCAAGGTCTATGTGGCAGGGTGCGGAGAAGGCAGTCTCTGTTCTCTCCCTATATACTTCAGCGTTCATTTCTATAGATATAATTAAGTTTTTTTTTATGAAAAATGTTTTAATTACGATGAAGTTGCTAAACAAAAAATAACACAAATTTATCAATTGACTATTGATAAGAAAATACTTCATTTTGAATGAATTTTGCGAAGCTTTTTCTGTGATACTTGGTTTGATACTTTAAAAAAATCAGAATTTTATGAATATGTGAAATAAATTTTTATTTATGTACAATTATTTATTCAATCACTATTATACTAGCGATTTTTCAAATAAGTAGGAAAACTGTCAATACTCGGTTATTATCATTTATGAAATAACACAATCAGATTCAACCATAGCACGCATTAACCGACGTTGTGGATTGAATCGATCAGCCAAACGACTCATTGGACCAAAATAATTATTTTGCATCCAAGATAATTTATAAGCCATAATTTTATTTACCTGTCGTGAACGTCCAGCAATTAAAATCGATCGAACAGCCATAAGTTGATGACGAATTTGACTAAATTCATAGAATTCATTGCTTGAATTTCCACATAATGCATCACTGTGAAAAAAAACTTTATCATCAAGAACGTCTGGACTCAGAGCTAAACAAAGTTTGTATACAATTTCATCTTCCTCATCAGATAATGCCCAGTAATTATTATAATTGGTAAACCGTAAAATATTGGCATCGTCACATTCAATCGTAGTACAAACGCACTTCAAATAGTACATACACTTTGCTATGTCATTATTTGGAACTGATGCAGTAACGCCTACATAAAATAAAGTATTGACTGATGCTGTATTTATAGAGCAAGAAAATCATACCAGTTCGTTGAACATCAATCTCTCGACGTTGGAAAACTGCCATTATTCGACTGTTTCAAATGATGATGGTTTATTGGATAAGTTGATCTTTACAAAAAAGTGTTCTTCTATCGTCTAGCTTACAACAGAACCTTTATATATGAGAAAGCCAGACCAATTTCAACATGAAAAGTGCTCACGCGTCAATGAGTTCCTACCGTCAAGGTTATTCATTATATGCTGTAATCTGGATCATGATTCGCGATATTGACAGCTTCCTTTCAAAATATTTGCTAGACTTCTTCCAAGCTACACAACATATGTTACAATAAACTAGGAAGAAGAAAATGCTGGTGGCATAAGAGGCTACTTCCTAGGTATTTGTTTAAAAACAACAAACTTATAGAAAAAAAAATGTCCTCATTTGACCATAAAATAGCTCTACTTTTTTCTTTTCAAAAGCAACAGAAAATATAATTATGAAACTTATTTTGTTTCAGTAGAAGAGGAAGAACGTTTTGAACAGACTATGGAGTCTAGTAAGTAGGTCATGTTGAAGTAAATCTTTCGTTTTCTACTTCCGAATATTATATAGCTCGACAGATTTGATTATACAATAACTGTTTGACAATGCTTGGTTCATTTTGTTGATTTTTTATCGATTAAATATACATTATTTTATTTAATATATATTAATATAAAAGACGACATCAAGACTGCATAGAATATTTTAGAAACAATATGCTAGAAGTCAACTTACAATATTCTAACAAAGACAATTCTGTTCGTGAGAAAAGCATTGACTTTTTTGTTTTGAAAAAAATTTGCTTTAGTTATTGTTTTTCTCTATAGTATACCCTTCTGTCAAAGTTGCAATAAATAAATTTAGCTTGGTGCTCTTTTTTATTTGCGCTATACTCCTAAATTCACTTCAATTCAAGCATCAATTATAGAATTCATCTCCAGAATAATTTCACCTTCATGCATTTATTCAAGACAAGTACATTATTTTTTTTGCAGGACCTCTTCATCGAAGAGGCGCGATGCTTTGTTTCAATTGGATAATAAGTTACAAATGTAGGCTGACAGCAATGTAATTCGAAAAATTCACTGCGCATCAATTCAACGGCAGAGATCGGCAGGCTTCGGTGTTCGTTATTTTTTTAAAATCAAGTCAGAGTCGATAATTAGTAATCGACTCCAATTCCTAGGTGCTATTGCATCGAATATACTGTGGGCGTCGGTCTGTGTGTTGGTGTGGCATCGTTGTAGATGCACGAGTGCAGGGGTTGATTTGAAGAGAAAGAGAAGACCTTAACGCACACCCATTCTCAGTGATAGTCAAGTCACACTCAGGATGTGTGGATGATGTCATTTGATTTACCTGAAAGTTCACGTGGATTAGACAAAGGACCTTCTGTTTACTTAACTTTAAGTGTCTGAAAATCAAATCAAATCATTGAAAGTGTATGGCTGGGTGTGGATGGTTCTTCTTCTGACTGGTGTTCATTTACATAACTCACACTTCCACATCTTTTCTGTCATATCTAGGTAGTCAGTCTAACCTGTCAAAAGACAGTTCTTTGAGACAGTCTATCAGCTATTCCAAAGTTGAACTGTTACACTCCTATCAATAAAGCTGGGCGTTTGACCATTCCGTATATGAATGATCAATTCAATCAATAGTCTAAAATACATCGATTGATTCTCATTGATTTCGCACTCGATATTGTTTATAAGGTCTTCCATAATGAAAGTCTACGTTTGATTTTGACTTCATTTTAGCACAGTGATGATCTAATTGTTTCAAAACCAAAAGAAATCCTAAATAAAACTACAGGGTGTTAAAAAACAATTCCGCCTCTCTCTACAACTTAAAGTATCAATGATATCACAAATGTATTTTATACCAAATTAAAGCGCGTCAAAAACTGGATTTATTGGTATTAAATAGTAAAAGTTATGAAGACCTTTTGATGTTGAACTTAAAAAATGTTCAGAAATTTGATACTTTTTTGGTGTAGAAAAGTAAGGTACCAGTAATTCAAAAATGGAGTAAAACATTTTTCTTAGATATTTTTACATCGTTCGATAGAGGTTGTCGAGCTGTACAAAACTATATATTTCAAAAATATTTTGAGTCATCTTTTTGAGATTAAAAATTCAAAAAACTACTTGGAAAATCTCAAAAAATGTTCAAAAACTTCATTTTTTTTATATGGAAGAAAAACACTCGATTTTTCAGTAAAATTAGCTGTGTTCATTATTTCTGAAAAATCGAAGACGTTTTGAAATGTGTTCGTTGGATGCAGTTTTTCATGCGGCACCGAATGAACACATTTTGAAACGTCTGTGGCAACAAAAATAATGAACAAAGATGGTAATGGAATATTTCAAAATCAAATAAAATATGCCACTGGTGTGAACCCAGTGGTAATAACTTCAGCTGATTATGATAACGATAAAAGAATC